GGGCACGGGCACTCGGTCCTTTTGGAGGAGCCCCTTGGTCATCTTCCCCCTGGCTGCAGTGAAGTCTCTGAGCTGCTGCAGTGGGTGTCTGCGTGGGGAGGAGGGCACGTAAACCAGAGCAGGACTAGGAGAACGTGGGAGTGTTTCTGGCAGAAATAGTTTGGTTTAGCTGCATACAACCTCCTGTTTTTAAGCAGGAGGTTAGTTTCTGTGATTTTTTTTCACCCTCAATTTATTCTTAAAAAAATTCCAAGTCCCTAAAGAGACTTTTTAAAATAAATTTGATTGGAAAGAGAGGAAATGCTGCCCCTTGAACTCTCCTTACGTGTGCGTACCTGTGGGGTGCAGTGTTGTGGATATAGTTACAGCTGTCCATGGACTTCAGCTGAGCACGAGACTTCTTCCAAATGACTCCTCAGGTTTTGTTCCTTTTATCCTTAAAAATAGCAAACCCCAAACCCTCTGAGACTGTCCCCAGTCTGAGCTAAACACACCTAGAAAACTCTGCTTGCCCCTTGTGCTGCTTCTGGTGTTGGTGAAGGGCCCTGTGGGATCTCTCCCCTTGGGTGTCTCTTGCCTCCCTCCATCCTCCCAGCGACCAGTGGGTCACTTGTCTCTTCTCTCCTGGTTTCCCTCAGATCATGGAGATGGCAGCTAAAGGGATCAAACCAGTCACCCTGGAGCTGGGGGGCAAATCCCCCCTTATCATCTTTTCGGACTGTGCCTTGGAGAATGCTGTGAACGGAGCCCTCATGGCCAACTTCCTCACGCAGGGTGAGGTGTGTGTCTGTGGGATGGGAGAAGCCCTTCCGAGCGTGGTGGGTGGTTTGAGAATTGGGAACTTCAGGGCACCCCTCACTAAGCAAGGCACAGGCTGGCCCTGCTTCCCATCTTCCCTGTGCAGTGTCACAAGGGATCAGAAGGGACGTCCTTGCAGAAGGTGGCACAGGGTGTCCCAGCGGAGTGTGCCTTAGCTGATGCCCTGCCCTTCCCGGAAGCGCAGCCTCTCCAGCACCTGGTACCCAACTCGATGAGTTGTTGCTACCTGGTGGCATCGGTGCCACTATGTTCAGCGTGGGCTGTTCAGCTTAGTCCTTAGCAGCAGGGCAGTCCAGTCTTTGTCCCCAGGGACGACTTAGCTGTTTAGCAGCTGTGGAGGGGCTTTTCTGAGACCCTCTGTAGCAGGACCCCAGCAGGGAATGACTCCGGGGTGCTGCGTGTCTTATTCTGAGCAGCCTGTCCTGTATCCCAGGTGTGCTGCAACGGCACGCGGGTGTTTGTGGAGAGAAAGATACTGGATGTCTTCACAAAGGAGGTGGTGAAACGCACCCAGAAAATTAAAGTTGGAGACCCGCTGCTGGAAGACACACGGATGGGAGCCCTCATCAACCGGCCCCACTTGGAACGTGTCCAGGGCTTTATCAAGCAGGCGAAGGAGCAGGTGAGACTGGGATGCTGCCTTATGAGTGCCCTGAAATGTGTCTCTTGTTGGACAAAGAGACAGGCAGCTGCTTTCCTGCCCCATGCCTTCCCAGCTAAGCTGTTCTTTTTTGTTGTGCTTGAATTACTTGACGGGTATCTTGGGCCATTAGGTTAACAGTGACCCAGCACATGTCTCTAAATCACCACTGAAGGTGACGTGACATTTCACAGCCTCACGTTGCCCAGCTTCAGAGGTTACGAGATACCCAGCCTGGCAGTGTATAAAATGGGAGAATCCATACATTTGGGCTGCTTTCTCTTTTATAAGCTGTGGTGACATCTGCCTTGTTTAGGTTTCAGTTTTGTCGGTTGCAGAAAGAGCTTATTAAGGGTCAGCGGCCAGATTTACAGGCTGACACAGTCTCTGTAAGAGCAATAGGATCTACCCAGGCTTTTTTTTTGGGGTTGGGTGTTTTTTCTTGGTGTGGTGTTTTGTTGGTTTTTTTTTTTCCCTCCAGGTTTTCTTGCAAAGCATAAAGATGTTTTAAATGCCAGTACTAGATAAATGACTAGGTGTAGCCAGTTTGGGGATGGGCTGGAGAAGGGGAGCTGTGGGTGAAAGCCAGGTGGACTAGATGAGGATTTGGAAACAGGAAGGTGGATGTGGAAGGAGAGGAGAAAGCCCCATCTCTTAGGTGGGTGTTTCTTGCAAGGTGATGTGCTAAGGGACTGATTGACTCACTAATGAGGGAATTGGCACCACGTGAAGCTGTGGAAGTTAATGTGATGCCAACTGAGGATCTGCTCCTAGCTGCAGTTGCTTCCCTCCAATCTACACTGGCTGCTGTGGCACCTGCACCCCAAACCAGCATTGTTTGGGCTTTTAGGATTGGTCTCACCCTCTGACCCTTGATCTATGAATGATGCTCTGTCAGCAGCCCTGAGCTGGAGAGGCACTAGGGAGACCATGGGCACAGCTTATCCAACAGGACTGTAAATCCATTAAGGAATATTGGCCAGCCACAGCTGCGGCAGCTGGGTGGGATGCCACTGGATGTGCTTGGCTCTTTTTCAGGGGGCAGAGGTGCTGTGTGGTGGGGACCTGTACGTGCCAGATGACCCGAAGCTGAAGAATGGCTACTACATGCGACCCTGTGTGCTAGGTACGATCCCTCCAATTTGTGGTACTGCAGTCTTCTACATGGGTGTTGCTTCTAGAGAAATCCCTGTTCAGTGTAACCTGTCCCTGTGGACATCCACGGTGTGGACAGGCACTGGTATGGCTGTACTGGAGAGCTGAGGCACCTAGGAACTGCATCCAGAGAAATCCCTGCTGTTGGAGGGACAGGACACGTGCAGTTAGTGCCTTTGCTGCCTTGACGTGCTTCTCCACTAGCCGAGCGGGGCAGTGCCAAGTGCTTTCTCGAAGGCGGCGTGGGTTACTGAATGCACAGGCTTTTCTGACTCTTCCTCCTGAAGCACACGTGCTCTGCTGTGCTTCCAGGGAACTGCACGGATGACATGACGTGTGTGAAGGAAGAGATCTTCGGGCCTGTCATGTCCATTCTGCCCTTTGACACAGAGGAGGAGGTTGTGGAGAGAGCCAACAACACCAAATTCGGCCTGGCAGGTGGTGTCTTCACCAGGTATGACTGGGTAGCGTGGCTGGTGTGGATCTGGTCTAGGGAGGGGAGAAAGGAAGTACTGCAGCAACACAATGCTCCTCTGGCAGTACCTGGCATGGGTATGGATATCCTGTTCCAGAAAAGCTGGAGCAAGGCACTGCCAAAAGGGAACTTTGTACATGACTGCACATCTCCTCCCAGTTTTTCCTGAGTGGTTAGATGGGCCCAGCTGTCCTTCAGGCTCCTTCCAGCCTGTGCCTGCTTCCTGCATCTCCAGGAGATGTGCACCAGGAGCCTGCCGTGCCGCTGAAAGCGCGCAGAGATGGCTGTTGGCTGCTTGCCGCAGTCCGCTTTGCTGCTGTCCGTGTCCTGCCCTCAAATCCCTTCTGAGCATCCTTGGGAATAGGTGCTGCATCCTTTGAGCAGGCAGAGATAGGGTAGGGCAGGTCAGGCTCCGAAAAAACACTGCTGGCCTCTCTCTAGTGGGGTGGCAGCTGGCTGGGGGGAAGGGATGAATGGGAAGGGATCCAGCTGAAATGTCCTTTTCCTGCAGGGATATCCAGAAGGCTCACAGGGTAGTGGCTGCTCTCAAGGCTGGGATGTGCTTCATTAACAACTACAACGTCAGTCCCGTGGAGCTGCCTTTTGGAGGATACAAGGCATCAGGTGGGCTCTGTTTGGCCTCCCCTGGTATGACTACGTGCCAGTTATGGGGGGTGTGAGCGGTCCCTGGCACTGCCTGGAGCTGTTTTCTCACTTCTGACTTCTCCCTGCAGGATTTGGCAGAGAGAATGGGCGAGCAGCCATTGAGTACTACTCGCAGCTGAAGACAGTCTGCGTGGAGATGGGTGATGTGGAATCTGTGTTTTAGTGGCTCAGGGGCCTGCTTAGGGGAGCATCAGCCAGTTTTTGCCTGTCAGCCAGAGATACGCATCATTTACACAGCAATAAAGTGCTCTAAAATCGTAAGTGTCTGGGGGGTGGAGCGTAGCCGGAGCAGCATTTAGCTCCTGCGAGGGGGAATGTACGCTCAGGGCCTGTGGGCCTGATGGGAGATGGGAACCTCAGCGTGGGAGGCAGCACTAGGGCTTTCAGCAGCAGCTGCACAGGCCTTACCAGAGGCTTGGTGGTGGCAGCAGAGCCCCAGCCCAGGCTGCTCTCCCTGCTGCGTGCCTTAAACAACAGTGCCTTCCACCCCTGGTGTGGTTTGCCTTCTTGACAGGTACGACCCCGCTCAGTGCACGCAGCAGCTCTTGGACATGCGATATCCCGTGAGCTGTCTGTTCTCTGCCTACATAAAAGCCGTAAGGGTAGGGTTGTTTATTCCCTCTAGCCCCCTTGTAAACACAAGTTTTGAGGTTTTTTCTATCTGTACTTCACTTCCAAGTTGGGGAAAAAACATTGTGGAGATGGTGAACTGATGCTGCCTGGGGCAGGCGTGGCCCTGAGAATCATTTCCACGCAGAGTGTGGAGCACAGCCCGATTGTAGCAAGCTCCAGCATAGGATAGATTTGCTGCCTGTCATAAGCAAAAGCTCTTTGACTTCCTTCCTATAGGCCTACCGTTCTTTGTAAACACGATGAAGCAACAGCTTCAAATATTTGCCTACATCTCTTTCTTTTTTAGCAATCAAATAAATATTAACTCTGGAAGACCTTATCGCAGAGTGACGTGAATTTGAGGGGTCCAGAAATAGGGCTGCTGCTGTATGAGTTAAAACACGTTGGAAGATGGCTTTTTGGTCACCAAAATCATAAAAGCTGGGGCATCTCTGCCTGATGGGCTGTTTTCTGTAGTCCTCCAAGGCCAGAGTTGTTCTACCATTCCGCAAAACTTCTTAAGGAAGCCCTTTAGAATGAAAGTACAGAACTGACGACTTCATTTTATTCAATGAGGAGAAAAGGAAAAGCAGACATCCCTGTCGTTTCCCAGGTGGCCATCGCGGTGGTCGGTCAGTCCTGGGCGATCCAGCCGAGGTGCTGGCAAGCTGAATACACGCCCGTGCCCACCAGCCCAATGAGGGCAGCTGAACCCATGGCCCCCCTCCTTCGGTTTTTTGGATCTGGGAGGGAAAAAAAAAAGAGGTGGTTTTGTCAGTTCAGCAGCCCGTCACTGAATGACTTAGTCCATCCTGAAAAACTAGAGGGAGCAGGAAATAGAGCTAAATCTCCAGGCAAAGCACAGCCCGGGCTGTGTACCCACCTTCAGTCTGTGCTATTATTAGGTTAGTGCCCTTCCCATCGGTAGGAAAAGTCTACTCCAGGGATGGCAGCCTGTGGCCCTGCGCCCTTTCCTTCATGCCCAGACTGGAAGCTCTTCGTGAGCTGGAGGAAAGAGCCCTGAGGCCGCTGTAGGAGCCTCACGGGTAAAGACCTACCTCCTGTGTAGTAGCCGTAGGCATAGAGGATTCTCCCAAGGATCCAGGTGATGCCGAGCCCTGTGGCGATCCGCTAGAGGAAAGCAGAAGCGTTAGTTTTGGGAACTCTCCACGCTTGCGTGTGCTTGGCTTTCTAGCAGCCCTGCTGCAGAGAAGCCTCCGGATCTGCCTATGCTGCTTCCTTCCCGCTCTGGAAAGGAGCGTTCAAGAAGGATCGGATTTGTCTGTTGGTGGCAAAGAGCGAGCTACTGGATTTGACCTCTCCCCTGCCTGCCTCCTCCTGAGTTTTCTGCATGTTTCAGTTAAAAGTAACCCAGGCTTTTTTTGATCCTACATGCACCTCCTTTGGTGGTGGAAGTGAGCGGGAAAATCACTGATGCCTATCAGATAAACTCTTTGTGAATAAAAAGTGGGTTCCTGTTCTGCCCACTGCCAGCTGCTGAGAGGCACTGCTGTAACCCCAGCAGGACCCGACAGGGCTTGGAAGAACCAGGTGGGGTTGGAGGGACCTTTCCTGCTCACAGAGGCTGCGGATGCTTCGGTTTGTCCAACGAGGTGCCCTCAGGGGAGGGAAACGGGTTCAAAGCCAAAGGTTTCATAGAATCATGGAATGGT